TCTGTGACCACTCCTCTTCCTCTGATTTTCTGACTGCATTTGTGATTTGTTCAAGACCTTCACTCCTTAATTTTGCTCTTCCTCTGATTCCCACTTATCTTCATCCCATGGATTCACTCAGGTTCTGAGGTACAGTTATGTATGCATGTGTGTATGTACATATACTTCCTGTGTTGGTGTTGGAGTGTGGTGTGTGTGTGTGAGAGAGAGAGAGAGAGAGAGAGAGAAAGAATGTGTGTGAGAGAGAAGAGGGAGGGAAAGAATGAGTGTGCATGGGGTGGGGAGGAGAGGCATAGAGAGAGAGAGAGAGGAATGTGTGTGTGTGTGTGTGTGTGTGTGTGTGTGTGTGTTGGGGTCACTGAGGGACTGAAATTTCACCCAGACTGTGCCTATTGCTGGAAGTGCTGTCAGGCTCTGCCAGCTGACTCCTCCCAGGTTCCATTCTGTGAGGCAGGCAGGCATTCTGGAGAACTATGCCCCTTGGAAGAAGCCCTGAGAAGGACTGGCAGGTATGAGGATAAAATACCTGAACTCCCTTGCTCTGGAGGATGACTCTGAGACACATGTTCTATGCTGTGTCTCAGAGGTACGCAGCAGGGCTGAGTCCTGACTGCCCACAGTGGAAACTTTCTTGATGAAGGTCCCTTTAACTGCTGCATTCCATTCCTGTTTCAGTTCCCACCCTGTACTAGTGTTTCTGCAATTGAAATGAAGGAAGAACTGGCAGCAGGAATTGCTGTCCTAGAGTCATCTCCAGATAAAATTTTATACTTGAATCTTGCCTCAGGATCTACTTCCAGGAAACTCAAACTAAGACACACATTTTTATTTCAGCCTCTCCAATCTTCATAGACTGTCACTGTGCTGTTTACCAAAAATGATCAGAGAGAATCAGAGAGGGAAAGTCACTTTGCCTAAGTCACACAGCTAACAGTGGTGGAGTTCAACTTTGACCATGGGTTGTCTGACCCCAAGGTGTATACTTAATCTTCCCAAGAGATTCCTCCTCTTATCAGGCTCAAATGAATGAAAGGAGGATGTTGGGGCAGGATCTCTGAAGCCTGTGCCAGAGTGGAACTCCCAGCTCATTGCTGGTGGCCTGTGTTCTCATTCTTACTCATTAAGAGTGCAAAGTTTAGCGACATACATTCAGTGAGAACTGGGACCAAACAGATTTTCTGACTTAAAAAGAGATATTTTACAGGAACAGATATATACCTATATATACAGACACGCATACACTATGATTTCTTACTGACTGCAATTCACAACAGTCCTTATTAGAATGTGGATGTATAAATGTAAGATAATTTTCATGTTAAAATCGACAGATACATATTTAAATAGTCCTAAAGGAATTTAATTATTTTTCTCAGAATTTTCCATTTTAATGTTATTTTTATGAGAAACTATATAACTTTATTGATAATACATACAATTAACCCTTTAAAGTTTTCATATTGAAATACAATGTATTCTGCAAATAACTAAAGCCAATTTTGTATTAGCATTTTAAATCTTAATCTTTTTTTATTATTATACTTTTAAGTTCTGGGACATATGTGGAGAATGTGTACATTTGTTACATAGGTATACACAGGACAGGGTGTTTGTTGCCCATCAACCTGTCATCGACATTTGGTGCTACATTAGGATGTGGAGAAATAGGAACGCTTTCACGCTGTTGGTGGGAGTGTGAATGAGTTCATCCGCTAGCAAGACAGTGTGGCGATTCCTCATGATCTAGAAACCAGAAATACACCTGACCCAGCAATCCCATTACTGGGTATATACTCATGATTATAAAATCATCTCCACTAACACACATGCACGTACGCCATTGCAGTACTGCCCCAAGAAAAAGACTTGAACCAACCCAAATCCCCACCTCAGTGATAGACTGAGTAAAGAAAATGTGGCACAAATACACCATGGAATACTTCCAGCCATAAAGGCTGAGTTCATGTCCTTTGCAGGACATGGATGAAGTCAAAGCCACTTCATTCCCAGCAAACCAATATGAACAAAAAAATTCAAACACTCATATGTTCTCATTGATAAGTGGGAGTTGAACAATGAGAACAATGGATACAGGGAGGGAACATCACATACTGAAATCCTGCTTAGTGGGGTGGGGCCTTCTAGGGGAGGGATAGCATTAGGGATTTAATAATTTTAAAATTCAATTTATTGAAATTTTACTTCCAAGAAGCTTTTAAGTATGTGTTTTTGAGAGCTTAACTTGATATATTCAAATCTTAATGACTTGCTGATGGAGCGAACTTCTTTTAAATTAGTGATTCCCAATTTACCTGACTGTTGGAATTTCCAGGCATGCTGCTGAAAACACAGATTATCCAGACTTTACCTCTGCAGATGTATTTGGGTGAATTTAAATGGCACCAAGGACCTGGATTTTTCCTATAGGTCCCTGTAAAATTCCACTCATGAACAGGCCAGTGTGGAAATGGTGCCTTAAGGAGATTTTTCACTGAGCAGTCTTCATTTGAAATGAAGATCATTTATCTTCTACTCCATGCTTCCTCTTTCTCCTGCTCTCTTTATCTCCTGCTGTCTTTCAGTTCCTAGAAGCTTTAATTGAATGACAGATCCTAGTATATCTGTACTCATTAAAACTACACTTGAAGGACATGGCTACCAGAAGCCACAGCTAGTCTGCCATGTAAAAAAGGAAAGGTTCATGTGCCCTGAGGGTACAGGGGTGAGAGGCAGGGGAATGGAGACCACTACAGCCAGCAGCAGGGTCTCTCACTGGGCACTCCTCTGGGAGATATGGGAAAGGAGGTCAGACGGTGGAGCAGTAGTCTTGCTTCTGTGCTATAGAACATGCTGTTAACACCAAAAAAGCTGATCTCTTCTAGGGGAATGGTGAAAGCTGATGCTAGCACTTGTGCTTTTTGTTTGTTTGAGATTGAGTCTTGCTCTTGTTGCCCAGGCTGGAGTGCAATGCATGATCTCGGCTCACTCTGCCTCTGCCTCCTGGGTTCAAGTGATTCTCCTGCATCAGCCTCCTGAGTAGCTGGGATTACAGGTGCCTGCCACTATGCCTGACTAATTTTTTTATTTTAGTAGAGATAGATTTTGCCATGTTGGCCAGGCTGGTCTCCAACTCCTGACTCAGCCAAAAAGGGGGATTGCATGGAGCCATTGTGCCCAGCCTGTACGAATTTAATTAATAATTGCACAGCTTCAAAATGACAGCCAAGTAGCAGACATAAAAATGAAAATTCTGTACTTTGATGTTAGCAGGCTTAATATACAAACCAGAATATGATGAAATTTTTCTTAATCAAATTGAATAATTTTCACATAGGCAGGCTATTGGCAGGCTATTCAGTACTGGGTTTATGTTTAGCCAGGCTGGTGCTTCATAAAAGTCTGAGGAAATACAGAGGCCAATTTCTCCATAAGCATTAGACTCAGAAATACCTGAGCCTCCCAGTGAAAAGTTTAAATTAACTTTCCGCCACCTTCATCAAACTGAGGTTGGTCAACACTTCATCACCACCTGCCACTGGACACTTTGACTTCCACCTTGCTACCTGCTCTGGTAGGAAAGATAATTCCCTCCTTCCTTTCACACTCTCCCTACAACCTCATCTTCTTCTGAGTTCATCCACTTTCTCATCACTGTCCATCTCTGTGCTTCCTCAAAACCTTATAGTACAGAAATTGACTAATCAAGATTACGGTGTCAAGAGCATCCGTTTACTGAATAAGTCAGCTGGCTCCTGGGGGCAGAAAAATGATTAGACACAGAGATAAAAATCATAATCCCTACTCTCCTGGATTCACTGTCCAATGGGGAGACAGACACATAAGCAAATGCAACTTGATAACTACAACAGTCAAGTGAATTATATAATCCCGACTGAAGAAAGAGAGCAAATGTTATCATAAGACAGTGTACCAGTACTTACTCTACTGATTTCTCGATGAATGTCTAGGCTTTGCCAACTTGTTGCATAAGAAAATTGGAACGTCGGGAGGGAAGTACGTATGCTTCCTTTTGGCATTTAATCCATAAAATGCATAAATAATGTAACTATTAATGATATCATCATATTGATTCAATAAGTTTGAAACCAAAATTGAGAGTCATCTTTAGAAGAAACTGTGTATGTGTCTATGTGTGTACACTTGTAGATATACACATATTGCTTTCTGAAATTTTCAATGACTTTGTTGCTTCTGAAGCAATTCAAGTTTAGAATTTGAGACCCATGGGTCAAAATATCTTCCTGAGTGTACTGAAGAACATTTAGATTAATTTCAGACATGTATTGGTTTGTGGCTAGTGTTTTTAATCCATACTTAACCCTATTTACTGTGTTTAAAATAAATTGAGAATAACAGCAGCAACCCTGAATTGAGTGAAAGTCCTGAGAAGGGCATTGCCCAACCAGTGCATGTGCATGTTTACACTAATCTCCTGTCTGAACCTTGGAAGTGGCTCAATGAGCTAGCAGATGATCTCTGGCTGTATTACAAATGATACTTTATTTTTATTTGTTTCATTCATTCATTCATTCATTCATTCACTCATTCATTTTGAGACAGGGTCTCACTCTGTCACCCAGGCTGGAGTATGGTGACACAATTATGGCTCCCTGCAGCCTTCAACTCCCAGGCTCAAGCAGTCCTCCTGCCTCAGCCTCCTGAGTAGCTGGGACTACAGGTGCACACCACCATGCCCAACTAATCTTAAAACTTTTGTAGAGACTGGGTCTTAATATGTTGCCCAGGCTGGTCTCAAACTCTTGGACTCAAGCGATCCTCCTTCCTTGGCCTCTCAAACTGCTGGGATTACAGGTTTGAGCTACTACATACGGCCAGAAATGACATTTTAAAGCCAACTATTACCTAGGCAGATATATGATGCTCTCCGGTTGTTTTATTTAAAAATAGTAATGCCTTAGGTTTATTGGCTCATTTTGTTTTATCAAAGAGCTTAAATGCAGTT